AGCTAGAAGACCCCCATATTTGTCATTGGCTTTTTTTTTGTTTGTTTGTTTTGTATTTTTTTTTTTAGGATAGAAGTTGACCACAGCTTTACCCAACTAACAGCATCTGTATCTGTAACAGATACCGCAGAGGATTCAGCCCACAATATTCCCTGACACTGGTTTTCAGCAATTCCAACAGATACCGTTCTTAAAGTTGATCTTCTGAAGAAAGGTTTGATACTGTACGTTTGCCATTTTAGGAATGCCTTGAAAACCTAGAACTTGCTGTTCCATTTGTATGTTTATATGATTTTGTTTATGTTTGGTTTTAGCGGACTTTATGCTTTTGTACTTGCAGTATTGAAAACCCCCATCGATTTCAGTGCTACATCTGTCTCACTTAAAATGAAAAACAGAGACTTTTCATGTGTTTCTGTTTAATTGATGTCATTATAGAAAAAAAAAAAGCAGCAAGGATTCTGCTGTATTAGATTCTTGTATTGATGGGAAGGCAAGAAACAAGTGACCATACATATTTCCTATGTCAGTGAGTCCTACAAGAAAAAAACCCCAATGTCATGCCTAACAACAGCCAAGAGCTTACCTTGCCTGTAGGTTATGTGGAACACAAGCAGATCTTTAAGTCGAGCATATCACAAATTCTTTTTGGATTAGGAGATTCTGCCTTCAGTAATGTGTTGTCATGTGGTCCTTGAAAGAGCAGGAGTATCCAACTGCACCTGTCCACAGTTTTAACAGACTTGAAACTACAAGGACTCCATTCTTCCTTTTGTTATATGTTACGGCAAGTCTGAAAAGGAAGTATCTGGTTTTCTCTTTAAATGAGATCTATGCCTTCCGTACTTCATTTATGACTTTTAGACTCTTTCAGAAATACCATTTTCTATACAGAGGTATCTTTTGAACTCTCCTCATTAACCTCATATAAATGCAATATAGGAAGCTGGACCAAAAGGAAAACAAAATAAATTGCTTGACAGGAGGAAAAAAGTCTAATAAAAAATAAAGTGAATTGGAGCTATTCAACATATCTTTTCACTCTAAGAGCTCACTCAATTCTGCATTATAAAGTCAGCAACATAACTCTGACTTATTGTAATGGTTTGGTGTCAAGACTTCCCTTTGCTTTTTGCACAGAAAAACCTTGGTTAGTTTACCTGTGGCTGGACAGAGATTTTGCAAAATAATCAGTTAATCAGCAAGAAAGAGGGCAACAAATTTGGTCAGAGAAACAAATGCAATCCTGTGGCTCTAACAGTAAGTTCTGCTGTGTTATTTGTAGCTACCTACCTGTTCCTGACTTTGCCTTTCCACATTTCTGCGATACTGTAACTAAAATCTCATTTTTAGGTTTTGTTTTGCTTTGTTTTGTTTTGTTTTTTTCTCTTCTGTTGAAACTCAAGGGGTGGTGGTGACTGATGCCATCAGCAGGAAAGTTTACATTATCAGTAGCACTTTAGCCAGGCTTGTCGAGAGCAGTGGGACATTTAAGTAGGACAGAGGAACCAACCCACAGATGAGATGCTCTGTGTCAAGGGAAGGGACTGATGTGAGAGGAGGTCTTGAGGCAGAAAAAGCAAAGCACAGCCTGATGTGAGTGAGTATCCTTGGAGGTTTGCTACAGTCCTCGTAGCTTTGCTAAACTCCCTCTGTGGTGACAATGAATGTATGTTACAGTCTATTAGTTCTGTCTTCCTCTCCCTTGCTTCTGTACACCCCTATCCTCCCCTGCTTGCCCTCTTCCCTTGCTATCACGACCCACTCTTGTTTTCCTTCTTACTACCTCTCCTCTTTTAATTAATCAGGGAAAGAAAAAGAGAAGCTGTTCCTGCCAGCTTTGCTTTGCTGTCGAGTGGTAGTAGGAGTTCAAAGAACAAGGTTACTCCTGCACCTGCTGCTTGTTCTTTGATGCCCTGTTGCATGAAAACAGTTTCTTTCAGAAGTCCAAAAACGTACTAATTAACAAAGGAAAAGACAGGGAGAAACAAGCCAAAGACTGTGGGAGGAATGAAGTGAGTGACAACAGAGATGTTAGAGGGAAGCAGAGGGAAGAAGCAATGATAAAGGGGGAACTGGGAAAGAAATGCACAGAAAAATGAGCAGGACAAACAATAAAGGAGAGGAAAATAAAGTAGGCGGCAAAAGAGAGGGAACCAGAATAAAGAGCTACAGAAAAAGAAATGTGACAATGATTTAAAGACCCCTTTAGATTACAGTACATGGTCCTTACAGAGCAACTCTGAGGACAGCGAGTACCTTGGTCACACAGAGTTGTGTGTGGCATCAGTTCTCCCCCACTGAACTGCTAGGTGCAGCAAGCAAACTCTCTGGGGAGGGCACTCCTACCTGGAACAACAGCACGGTGCTCTTCAAGCTGGACTTTAGGCCTGCCTTCTTTTGTTTAGATATAAAGAGAGTAAGTGGCTTAAAAATACAATCAGTACAAGCCTGGCATTACTCTCACTGTTCCCAGAGAAAGGACAATGCACTGTAAACAGGAGAGGTGTCCTACCATTTTGGGTCAGAGTACACACCAAAACAGTCACAGGCAAACGCTGTGATGTGAAGGCACGGACTCGGGAGTGCGTGGCTGGTAGGGCATCTGGCGCATGACAGTGAGGTGACAGCAGAGGGGAAGGAGCGACTACTCGCATGATACTCGAAACAGAGGAGAGGCTGATGGTAAGACCTTCTTCAGTGTGTGGTAGGATGCCAGCTGCACAAAACATAGTTTCCTTACTGCCTCTAAGGGTGGTCCAGTGCTGCTGAGACTGCTACTGAAGGTGTTGGCACCAATGAGACACAGAGAGACAGCAATCTCAAGATTAAGGCAGCTGATTTCTGCATGAAAACCAAGATTCTAACAGTGCCCATGTGAGATGATGAAAATGTTACTTAAACTGAATTTTTCATAGGTGGCTGTTGGCTGTGTGTGCTTCGGTTTTAGTGCCTGTCCCAGAAATTTGATAGGCTGAAGTACCTTGCACTCACCACTGCAGTCAGTTGCAGCACTTTGAGCACACCAGGTGCTACAGAACACATGCTGAACATCACGGGGATCTCAGCCTAGAAACTTATCTCTTCCGCTTAACATCTGCCACAGCTCTTCATCTGTTAAAGGCTACCACATCCTGAACAGCTGGAAACACAGACCATGGAACAGGTATTTGTTAGGCAAGTAACGTACACCTAATGCAACGAACTAATCAGCGTCCTGACACCTCCCTTCTCCTTATGTCAAACCCATCAAGTGGGCAAACCAGGCTTGTCACGCCATGCAGCACAGGGATCTCAGACCTCAAACAGGATAGCTGGCCCCTGCAGCACTGCTACAAGGGCTCAAGTGTGATGTAGGTAAGCCCACCCCTTCAACGTCATTTCCAAGATTTCCAGCATAGTGCTGCACAGCATTAACTCTGAATACCTGGCTGCTACTGTGAAACAGTCATCTGAAAACAAACAGGCTACCAAATTAATCTGTAGAGTGAGCTAGCACAAGGAGGCACAGCTTCACTGAAACCAGTGGGTTTCCTCTTGCTTTTGCCAGTATTAAATTTGGTCCATTTTCTCAATTTCAGTACTGTTAGACAGAAGCAATGAGTCATCGGTCCTGCTAAATCCGATTTCTATGTGTGAGACATATGCAAGAACAGTAACTAGGTGAAAAAAAATATGCGTAAGCATACTAGTATGAAAGCAAACTATTACTCGGGGGAATTCTGTGTTATTCTGTAGAATTCTGTTATTTGGGAAATGAAACCTGTTATAAGTAGCTCATGACAGAAATACCGTCACACTTTTCCAGTGTGATGGTAAAAGATGTTTTTTTCCTTTGCAGCAAAGACAGTGTCATGGACTATCTCACAACCACACTGCTTCTACCCTGGTTTTACCTAGAGCAGTAAGCACCATCACATCTTTGTATACATTTTATTACTGAGAAATACACCATGAGGATCTTGAGCAATGGAGATTAAGCGGCAACATCGTTTTTCAGAAAATAAGCTGATCAGTATATATACTGTAACAAGACAGGAAAAAACCCCTGCAGTTTTCAGAGGAAAAACGATCTGAGAAATGGGCTACTGTAATTAAGATATACGGAGTAAAGTGCTAGGAAAGAAAAGGGGAATGTAGAATTCTCTTCACACTCATGAAAAGCAGATTCAGCCCCAGTTTCTTGACTGTTTGGGGCTGAACCCCATAACTGACTTTATCTATACATTCAATAGTGCTGCAAGTACATGATTCACTAGTCTACTCTGTCAAATAAAAAAGATCTGCTCTCCCTTTTTAAAATGTCACACTGCTGCTGCTAAATCCCATGTCAGTGCTGCCTTCCCGTTGTCACAACAGCCGATGGCCTACCTGTTGCTAAGGCCATTATGCTCGCACTGGCATTTTCCAGCCTTTGCTTTAGGCTTTGGTTATCACAAATACCAAAACTGCAGAGAGGGAACAAGAGTCCTGTTCATTTTTAGGGTTTTCTGGTTAGCTTTCATATATATATATAGTCTTAAAAGGGGCCGTTCCTCTGCAATTTCATTGTTTGCCTGCTCTGCACTCTGTGCAAACAACAGTCTCGGTGCGGCGTTTTCCATGGAGGGCTGAAAGGCTACTGGTGGGATGGCGGACCCGGACACCGACAGCACCAAGGAACATGCGAACGTTTGGCACCAGCCTTCATCTGAACAGGCCGGTCTTGGTCAGGGACCGCTTCCCTCACATCTCCCTGAACCAAGCCAGAGGGCCCAGCCACCAACCCCTCAGCTAACAGCAGGCCCCCAAGCCCCTTGTTTGTTGTCACGGATGCCCCAAAAAGAGCGGAAACGAGGGGGAGGAAAACGCGCGGCTCAAACACGACAACAAAAGCCCGCGCAAAGCTCCGCTAAGGGTCACGGCAGGGCCTGAGGACGGCGACGCTCCCCCCGCCACCTAACCGCCGCCCAACCGCCGCCCGCGCGCGCCCCTCCCTCCTCA